TTTGTTCTTTCTTTTTTGGTATCGGGAATTAACTCAGGGCCACTTAATCAATGAAATACATCTCCAGTCCTTATGTTTTAAATTTTCAGGCAGGGTCTTGTTAATATGCTAAGGCTGGTATCAAACTTGTGATTCTCCTGTCTCTGCCTCTGGAGTCATAGGGCTTACAGGTTATGTGCCACTACACCTGGAATCAACCCTAAGCCCTGTTGGAGTAAATACAAGTGAGTGCCTAGAAGACTTGATGTTTCTGAAGGTTATCAAAAGACTCCTAAGAATGTGTTAAGGGGGCAAGGAGGGGGGAAACTGGCCATTTCCCTTATCTCCAATCCCTAGGTGGAGATCAAAGCAGAAGGACCTGAATTATAAAGTCAAGTCATGTACTCATAAAACATCTGAATAGACCCACATGAGCAGCTGGCATAAAAATCTATCCTGTGTATATACTCCTCTACTTACGGGTGTGGTGCAACAGCCTGGTGCTGTCAAGGAGCCTGTGAGTAATAAAATGTCTGAACCCTCTCATTGAGTCCTCCAAATTCTTCCTTTAGGGTCAAAACAGTACACTGAGGCCTTTGCAGCCCTGGAGTTGAACAAGTCCTTTCATAAAGGGCTCCACCCTTCTCAAAGGCCACACCTCTTAATAACATTGCACTGGAGATTAAAATTCAGTAAGAATTGTGCAGTGAACACCATCATTCAAACCACAGCAATACAGTACACAGTAAACTCTCCCTGGATAATGTATTTGCATAGTTAAAAGGTAAAATATTTAACTAAACATGGTCTGAAATGTTAAGTTAAATATAGTCTATTGAAATCATAAGGCATGCTGGGGATACAGCTCAGTTGGTAGAGTGCTTGCCCCACATGCACAAGGCCCTGGGTTTAATCCCCAGCACCACAAACAAACAAACAAAAAAACCTTTCATCCAGCTAAAATCATAAGGCATGTTTTCACATATATTTTGTAAGAAATGGGTCTGGTGGGGATGTAATAAGTAGATCTTCACCTTTAATGGCTAGGATCCAAAAACTTGCTTTTTATCTCTGAGTACTGATTTCAAATTCAATGTTGCAGAAAATTCCCAAAGTAGGGCTAGAGATATAGAGTGCTTGCCTGGTATATATGAAGCCCAGGGTTCAATTCCCAACACCACCCTCCCCCCCAAAAAAAAAAATCCTGAAATAAAATAAAATTTCAACTGGCCATTTAGAATCAGCTGCTAATAAAACAAAGTTATGTGAGCTTCAAGTAATGAATATAACCAAGATACTTAATATAACAATCAATATAATGAATATAACCCTAAAACCTTCCTCCTTTCCCTTTGAGCTCCTAATAACATAAACATGTATCTCTAGGTATATATGACTAAGAGATATCTGGAGGCGTTCACAAGAATAGTAATAAAAATTTTAACTTTCTTTGTATTCTACCCTCAAACCCCTCCGTGTTACTGGGGACTAAATCCAAGAGCACTCTACCAGACCTACATCCCCAGCACTTTTAATTTTTTGAGAAAGGGTCTTGCCCAAGCTGACCTCAAACTTGAAATCCTTCTGCCGCAGTCACTGCGAAGTCACTTGGATTATAGTAATGTGCCACCACACTCAGCCTTTCTTAGTATTTTTATTCATCATTTGTGTGTGTGTGTGTGTGTGTGTGTGTGTGTGTTATTCTGATTCAACCCAAGGCCTTGTACGTGCTAGGCAAGTACTTCTGACCTACACTTCAGCCCTGAATTTTTTTAAATATTGAACATGAATTAGTTAGCTTTTTAGATAAAACATCTCATACTATGCAAACAAAGGAGATCTAATTTCAAATCCATGAATTCATGTTTAACTGATTTTGTTTTATATATTACAACTTTACTGATGTGTAAATGGCATAAAAGAAGCTGTATATATTTAAGTATACAATTTGGTGCAGGTATATACACATGAAATCAACAAAAGATCAAGAAAATGAATTTAACCCTAAAACTTCCTTTTGTCCTTTTTAAAAAGTCCTCTTTCCACCCTCCATTGCACCCTGGACTCACCACATTGAACCACTGATCTGTTTTCTGTAATTAAAGATTCAATTGAGCTGGACAATGTGGCTCACACTTGTAATCCCAGTGACTCAGGAGGCTGAGGCAGGAAGGCAAGAGAATCACAAGTTTGAGGACAGTATGGGCCAATGTCGCAAGGCCTGAAGCAATTAGTGAGACCCTATCTCAAAAAATTTTAAAAAGGGCTAAGATGTGGCTCAGTGGTTAATTGCCCCTGGGTTCAATTCCTTGTATCAGGAAAAAAAAAAAAAAAAAGGAGGTGGGGAGGGTGATGGGTTGTGGCTCAGAGGCAGAGCGCTTGCCTAGCATGTGTGAGACACTGGGTTTGATCCTCAGAACCACATTAAAAAAAAAAAAAAAAAAAACAATTAAAAAAGATACTGTGTCTACCTATAACTAAAAAATAAATATAAAAAAGATTAAATTGAATTATCTATAATGTTATGTAAATGGAATTATACAATATATATTCTTTTTTTAATTCGCTTCTTTCAGTCAATATAATTATTTAGAATTTCATCCAAGTAATACTGTATCTCTTTTTTTATAACTCACTAGTATTTCAGTGTATGGGTAAACACTCGGTTCAAGGATTCACCTGCCGGTAGACATTTAGGACACTTCTAGGTTTTAGTTATTAAAAACAAAGTTACCATGAACATGGGTAAGCAACTAGGAACATGTACTTTCATTTCTCTTGGGCAAAATACCTAAAGAATGGAACGGTGGGCTGGGGTTGTAGCTTGGTGGTAGAGTGTTTGTCTAGCACATGTGAAGCCCTGGATTCGATCCTCAGCACCACATAAAGATAAGTAAAATAAAGGTATTGTATCCATCTACAACTACAAAAAAAAAAAAAGAAGAAGAAGAAGAATGGAATGGTTAGGGCCAACAGAAAATGTATGCTACTTCTTAAGATACTGTCAAATCAGGTGTACCATTTTACATTCTTATGAACAGAATGTTCCAATTCCTATACATCCTGCCCCACATCTGGTATGCACAGATTTTAAATTTTGGACATTCTAACAGATAATGTAGTGGTATTTCATTATGCCTTTTATTTACATTTACCCAATGACTAAGGATGTTGAGCACCTTTAGTTATTTACTAACTAAACATCTTTGGTAAACATTTGAAACTTTTTTTTCTTTTTTTTTTGATACCAGGGATTTAACCCAGGGGTGCTTAACCTCTAAGCACCAGCTCTTTTTGTGCTTTATTTTTGTGACAGACTCATTAAGTTGTTTAGGGACTAAGTTGGTAAGGCTATCTTTGAACTTGCGATCCTCCTTCCTCAGCCTTCAGAGCACTGGGATTACAGGTGTGTGCCACCATGCCCAGCAAATTTTTTTTTGCGCATTTTTAAAATCAGTTTGTTGCCAGAGAGTAGCACAAGTCTATAATCCCAGAGACAAAGGAGTCTGAGGCAGGAGCATCAAGCTCAAAGTTAGCCTCAGCAAATTAGTGAGGCCCTAAGCAACTTAGTGAGATCCTGTCTTAAAATAAAAAAATAAAAAGGACTGGGGATATGGCTTGGAGGTTAAACACCTCTGGGTTCAATCCCCAGTATCAATAAACAAATAATTAAAATTGGTTTCTCCTATGTTATTATCTAGAAATTTTATCATTTTAGATTTCACATTTAGTTCTACTAGCTAATTCTGTAGCAAAATATAGATCATTTGTTTTGTGCATGACTATCCAATTGTTGCAGCACCACTTATTTAAAAGAAGATCCTTTCTCCAATGAATATCCTGCCCTTCTGTCAACAATCAGTTGTCTTGGTCTGGGGTTATGGCTTAGTGGCAGAGCACTGGCCTCGTACATGTGACCCACTGGGTTTGAGCCCCAGCACCACATAAAAATAAATAAACAAAATAAAGACATTGTGTCCATGTATAACTAAAAAAAAAATTTAAAAAAATCAGTTGTCTATTTATGTGTAGGCCCATTTCTGGACTTTTTTATACTACATGAACAATCTACCTGTCAATCTTTACACTGATACTACTGTTTTGATTATGTGAGCTTTATAGTAATTCTTGAAATTAGACAATAGTTTTTTGTAGATTCCTTAGATAACCTACAGAGATGATCACATCTTCGAGAAATACCAAGTTTATTTCTTCCTTTACAATCTGGATTATCTTATTTCTCCTTGCCTAATTACACTGCCTAGAACCTCAAATACTACTGTAAATATCTTGAACGTAAGTAATGAGAGGTAATATCTTTGAATTGTTCCTGAATTGATCTTGGAGGAGAATACTCAGTCTTTTATCATAAAGAATGATTTTTAAGCCAGGCATGGTAGCACACACATTCAATCCCAGAGACTCGGGAGGTTGAGGCAGAAGGGTCACAAATCTAAGGCGAGCATCAGCAATTCAGCGAGACCCTGTCTCGAAAAGTACAAAGGACTGAGGATGTAGCTTGATGGTAGAGCACTACTGTGTTCAATCTCCAGAATCAAAATGAAAAAGCAAAAAGATTTTAGTAGGTTTTTCCCTAATGTAACCTTTATGAGGTTAAGGAAGTTCCCTTCTAATTGCTTCTAATTCGAATTCCCTTCTAATTGCTATATGCTATTTTTTGTCACAAATAGATACTGAATTTTGTCAAATGGTTTTTCTGTATCTATTGAGATGATTATACATACACACACACACACAGTTAATTTTTAATTTGTCAATATAGTCAATTACTCTATTTACATTGTAAATGTTAAATCCTACATTCCTGTTATACTATTTGATTCTGTAATAAATTATATATAAAGTTACAGTAGTAAAAATGTAGATAAGTCATTTCCAACTTTCACTATCAGTTTGCATTCAAAGTTGTGAAGATTTTATTGATTCTACAGTTTTCAAAAGATTTTCTTCAAATATATTTCTCATTGTATATCCATATTTTTAAAGATTTTAATACTTACTTATCAAGGAAATCTTTGTCCACTACAGCAGAGATGTCAAGAAGAGGATTTCCCATTCCAAAGAGAATATTTTCTCTAAAAACCATAAACAAAATACAAGAACAAGTTAAAAATATGTAAAATACACCAAATATAAACATCTTCACTTTACCTGAAAATAAATCTAACACAGTAGTTTATTAAACCTTTGCTTACCTATTACATGTAGAACATTTTAGAGGTAGTGCAAAGTAATTTTGAAAAAAAGGATTTTTTTTTTTTTTTAATTTTGAGACACGATTCTTGCTAACTAGCCCAGGCTGGCCTTAAAAGTCATAATCCTCCTGTTCTCAGCCTCCCAAATTAAGTTACTGGGATTACAAGCACGTACCACCATACCTAGCACACACACAAAAAAATATTTTTTAAACTGGATGAAATAAAATATAACAAAAGAAGAAAGCAAATCATGTGATTTTTAAAAATAATATTCAACACTTAATGACTAAAGCTAATTCATTTCACTGTTCTTTTTTTTAAAAGGTCTACCATAACAAAGTTCTATATTCAATAAACATGACTGACAATTAACACTCTCTCTCTTGCTAATAAATAAGGTCCTTAGCTACTGATGGTTATTAGGGAGTAAGCAGCAAGTCCTCTGACAGTCCAAGCAACAGCCCTACCCTTAACTGTGAATGACTGTGATTGGGGCCTCCATGATTGACATCAGAGATGATATAATTCTCAATTTCTTCTTTGAAGAAATCTATTTTTCATAAGTAACTGCAGTAGAACTCAATGCCAAGGAAAGAAAGGACTCCACTACAAGCGATGCCTTAAACAGAAACACATAAGCAGCCAGAAATGGACCAGTGTCCACATATGCATCCGTCTCATTTAGTTTACTCAGTAAGATTTGCCTCATATACTTTTTCAGTGGTCTCCAGTTTGCTGAAAATCCCTTGCACTTGCCTCCAAACCAGTTACCAACCTTACCATTTGGTGACTATCAATATCATCAATAGGTAATATCAATAGGAAGAGTGCCTCAGTGTTTTCTTATTAGAATAATGTTTATCCTACAATTAATAGTCTATAATGAGTTGAAAAGATTGAATTAGTATTTCATTGACACCATAGATTAGGCAACTATGACTTAACATACAAGAAGATGTTTGTCCCTTTTCTATTTAAGTAAGGCAGTGAAGGACTGGTGTTGTAGCTCGGTGGTCGAATGCTTGCCTAGCACATATGAGGCACTGGATTCAATCCTCAGCACCACATAAAAATAAACAAATAAAATAAAGGTACTGTGTCCATCTACAACTTAAAAAAAATCAAAAACAAAAGAAAGTAGGGAGGGGGGACTAAAAGAGAACATATTTATTTATTTACACATCAAGTCACATCTGTGATCAAAATAAGTCTAATGTCAGATAAGAAAATAAGCACTTAGAAGATAAAGTATCAATAGGCAAACACTATAAACTTTACCACTACTTTCTCAGGGACTACTCTGATTTGAGCACTGTTTTAAAAACAATAAAAACTCCTAAAACCTGTTATTTTTAAAAAAATTATAATAATGATAATGGGGAAAGTGTTTCTGGGGGCTGTCTTTTCCTTCTCATTTGCCCTTTCTAATTTTTATTTTATTTTATTTATTCTAATTTGTCATATATGACAGAGGAATGCAATTCAATTCATTTGCTCTTTTTAAGTGTTTGGTTAAATGTACAGTCAGGTAACCAGCAGAATCAAACTATGGGGCATTCCCATCATGATAAAATAGTATCCTGCTGCCCATACATCAATCCCATCACCTCTGACTGGTAGCCTTTGTTTTAAGGAACATAACTATGATATTTCTTTTTAGAAAGTCTATCCTTTAAACATTTCCTGCATCCCAAAATGACTTACTATATTATATTTGAAATACCATTTAATACCTTCAATTGGAGGGAAATTCAGGAAATTTAAATCTGTTATTAGCAAGTACACTATCATTTATTGAGTATTGAGTAACGTTCTGTGGAAAAAACATGTATTTTTTTCATTCCTATTGCTGTTCTTCACTTAAAATTTACTGTTTATTTGGAAGAAGTATATACAATAAAAAATTCCTAAATTTTTACATTATTGTCAATGAACACCTCTGAAATGGAACCATAGTATAAATGGGAGAATAAAGATGTTAAGAGTAGTTAAGAAAAGCATACAGAATACAATTCAAAGGCCATGAATCTCCACTATTTCTCTCTTAAAAGTAACTTTCAATGTTGCTAATTTATCTGAGAATGAGTTTGTTTATTTGCCAAATTGTTTGAGATCATTTGGTACAAGAAAAAATGTAGAAGAGAATTAATGATGAGGAAGCAAGATCCCTCTTTCTTTGAACACCACAAATTCTAAGTTAAGGAACAATTATTTCTTTTTAATTGAAGTAAAATTTATGTACATAAAATCAATCATTTTAATAATTTTAAAGAACACAGAATACAATTCAGTAACTGCCAGTATATTCAAAATGTTTCAAAATCTTGTACAATTATCTTCACCATCATTTGTGGGCATCTGTATGGTGCTAGGGATTAAACCTAGGACTGGCACATTCTAGGCAAGTAGTCTACCAAAGAGCTACATTCCCAGCACCCAAACATTGTATTGAAGACAATTTCATCACCTTAAAAAGAAACCCCATACCCACTAAGCAGTCATTCACTTTTCCCCCCTGGCCCAGTCTCCTGGGAACCACCAATATCCTTTGTTTTTATGTATTTGCCTATTCTGCATATATCATATAAAAGGAATCATATTAATAACCTTGTGTTTATCTTGATTTATTTCACTTAGCATAATGTTTTCAAGTTTCATCTATGTTGTAGCAGGTATCAGGTTTTTATTCCTTTTTACAGTATAACAACATTCCATTTATGGATATAAGCCACATATTGTTTAAACATTTGTTAGTTGAAGAACATTTGGAATGTTTCCATTTTTGTCTAATGTTATAAATAATGCAGTTTATGAACATTCACGTACTTGTGCTTTTGTATGGAAATGTTTTCATTTGTCTTTGGTATACACAGAGGAGTAAGATTGTTGGATCAATTTTGTTTTTAAATTTTTGAGGAAACACCAAAACTGTTTTCCACAGTAGCTATACCATTTTAACATTCCTATCAAGAATGTATGATTGTCCTAATTTCTCTACATCCTTGCCAAAATTTAGTTCATTTATTCACTTGTGGTTTTGATTTGAACCTTTCTAATGAAAAATAATGTTATCATCCTTTCACATGTTTATAGGCCATTTGTACATCTTTGGGGGAAATGCCTGTTTTTCTTTGCCCATTTATTAATTGGGCTGATTATTTCTTCAATGTTTGTTCATTAAAGTTCTTTTCATATTCTACATGCTAGATATACCTGATATAAAATTGCAAATATTTCTCCTATTCTGTGAGTTGGTTTTGAATTTCTTGACAGTATATATTTCTGGATTCTCAATTCTCTTATATTGATCTTAATGTCTATCTGTATGTCAGTACCACACTCATTTGATTATTGTAGTTCTGTAATAGTCTACTAAGTCACAAGCGTGAGCCCTGAAACGTTTTGGTTCTGAGAACTAAACCCACAGGCACTTTATAATATCCTCAAGTCCATTTTATGTTTATTTTGAGAAAGGGTCTTACTAAAGTGTCCCAGGCTTGACTCAAATTTGTGATCCTCCTGCCTCAGCCTCCCAAGTCACTGACTGATTACAGGTGTAGACCACTATGCCCATCTATGATCTTGAATTAATTATAAATTCTTAGATACTTAAGTATCTTAAATACAACAGTAAAATCATATGCAAGAAAAGAAAATATAAGCTGGACTTTTCTGCAGCAAAGGACATTATCCAACATTGTTGGTTTTCTAGATTTTTTTTTTTTTTCTATTTTAGGTCTGTTGCAATTCCATACAAATTTTAAGATCAGATTGTCTATTTCTGCAAAAAAGGATGTTGGGATTTTAATTGAAATTGCATTGAATCTGTAGGTCCATTTTTTAAGTATTATCATTTTAACAATTTTAAATTTTCCAGCTCATGAACATGGAATGTTTTCTGAGCAAATTTGTCTTCCTAGAATACACAAGCCCTTAGTTCAATCCCATAAAAAAATTAAAAATAAATACAGACACTGAGTCTAGCTCAAACCTATTTCTTTCTTTCTTTTTTAATTAAACTGGGGATTGAACCCAGGGCATTTTATCACTGAGCTATATCCCCAACCCTTTTATTATTATTATTATTATTATTATTATTATTATTAGTTGTTCAAAACATTACATAGTTCTTGACATATCATGTGTCATACATTTGATTCAAGTGGGTTATGAACTCCCATTTTTACCCCGTATACAGATTGCAGAATCACATCAGTTACACATCCATGTTTTTACATATTGCCATACTAATGTCTGTTGTATTCTGTTGCCTTTCCTATCCTCTACTATCCCCCCTCCCCTCCCCTCCCCTCCCATCTTCTCTCTCTACCCCATCTACTGTCATTCATTTCTCTCCCTTGTTTTTTTTTCCCTTTCCCCTCACTTCCTCTTATATGTAATTTTGTATGAGGGTCTCCTTCCATTTCCATGCAATTTCCCTTCTCTCTCCCTTTCTCTCCCACCTCTCATCCCTGTTTAATGTTAATCTTCTTCTCATGCTCTTCCTCCCTGCTCTGTTCTTAGTTGCTCTCCTTATATCAAAGAAGACATTTGTCCCCAGCCCTTTTTTATTTTGAGACAAGGTTTCACTAAGTTGCTTAGGGCATTGCTAAATTGCTTAGAGCCTTGCTAAGTTATTGCTAAGTTACGGAGGCTGGCCTCAAATTTTTGATACTCCTAACTCAGTCTCTCTAGTCACAGAGATAACAGGCATGCGCAGTCATGCCAGGCTTCAAATCTATCATATTTCATCACATCTACCATTAATCCTAAATAATTCCAATTTCTGATGATGATCTAAGACTATCAGTTGTAAAAGGTACACCAATTACAGAGATGTTAAAATGGGAAGAAGCATGCATGCTAATTAAGATTCT